CATATTGCCACGTTATCTTGTTCGCGGCGCTCATCTGATTACTTGTTTTGGATGCACCAAGGCGGATCACACATTTTTTTTAGATGATGTAGCCGATCTTGACTGGGTGTTACGAGCTGGAAATTGAATATATATTACCGTTCTCAACGTTACGATGCTTGTGTGCCGCAGTTAGCCTTTATAAATACTGACAGGGGTGAGGGACTTGTAGCTATTTATAAGTACTTACAACCCACTTATAATTCCGCTGTAAGAGACTAATAACTGACTTATAACTCTGTAAGCCTTCGTAAGCCCTTACAACCCAAATCGGACTTTTGCGACAGTCAGAATTGGTGGGGCAAAAGAGGGACAACACTCGAGCGCTGACCAATGAATAATTGAGAGAGAATACGAAAGGATACCAGAACTTATTAACCGCCGGTTCCCCCAACAAATTCGTTGGAGTTCAACTTGCACTCGGTTGAACACACCGAAATTCATGTCTGACTCAGGAGGACGATTTTTTGTTTGTTTTTCTTCCCCCCGAATCCCCTTCTTTCTTTCAAGTACAGCACGAGGCCCACGCGGTTATTCGGTGGCGTTTTGAACAAGGTTCGAATTCGAGCATCGGCAGAGGGTTTGTAGGCATTGCCGGACATTGCCGAGATCGGGTGTTTGTTTTGATGGCATCACTTAGCCTCTTGCTCTTGACGTCCATGTCCTCCTTCTGGAATCTCCAAGGAATCTCCCGCTTTCGTGTTTTTGGCTCGAGCTCAGCCATCCATTGCACAAGTCGGATGCGCTTCGATATCTCGCTGTCAGTTCGACGGGACTAATACTCGTTTTAACGCGTTTGGATACTCTCCGTGGGCGAGTCACTGCTTGGTCACTGCTTAATTGCTCATTCCATCCAAGCTCCCTCACACAACGGCTGCTTCTCGTATCGCTAGCCCCCATTCCACTCAGCTTCTATTTGATGGTTTCCTTGGCTCGTTCGTACTGCCTTCGCTGGCTGTAGCCTGGCCTGTTTACACATTTCAGGTCGACAACTCCACGTTACTCTTCGGATCGGTTTTTTGCTCAAATTTAACATCAAGACGACTAAAATCCCTGCGCAAGACGGTGCAGCGGAAAGAAATAAAGAAATACGAACTTCCAATTTTAATTTCATCGGATGTAAGCAGCAACTACATCTCTCTTTGAAACGAGCTACAACTCCTTCATTGGCTTGACGCGATTATGCTCACAAATGAAAGGAAGCGGATCTTCGGATGTTTGGCAAAAACGTAACCTTCGATAGCGATATGACTCCTTGGTATGGTCGTTCGACCATTTCCGTGGACCTCGCTTGCACAGGGACCACAAACAGGAATGCACGCCCCAAGGAAAGCGGCCCAAACGCCATCAGGAAGCGCCAACTTGCGGAAGCGCCAACTTGCATCTTCTATTACGGCCTCTCTTTGACCAACGCACCATGGTCCATGAACGCTGGGTAGAATCTTCCCATGTATATATTCACGCAAGGATGTACGGATGTGTGCCTTCCCTGTCCAGCAATGACCTCCACTCAGCGGACGTCGACTTTCCTGCGATTTCTCACCAGTCCTCCCCCTCCGGGAGTGCGTACCATTCCTTGCACAGGCCTGGATATTGCGCTGCGCGACGGAACCATCACCACGGGCTTCGTCATCGAGGCACAATTAGACCCCAAAAAACTCCAACACACCTTCTGGGTACTAGTCGAGTCAAAGTTTCCCAGAGCAGGTGCGAGACTTGCCCGCAGGAATGGGGTGCGGCCAGATTGCTTTCTTCTGCTTCTCTGTGTCGCTCAAGCATCCCTCCAGGTATATGAGTTCCAAATACCCCTCGTGTTCGATGCAGATAGCCCACCGATCGCGTTTACTGTAGCAGACCATTCAACCGAACCATATAGCTCAGCCAACCGTCCTGCGCTCCCCATCCATCTGTATTCCTCCGATGCCACGGTGCCATCCATTCAACGCGTGCCAAAATTAGATCGGTATCTCAAGAGCAGGCAGTGCCCGACGACTCTAGCCCAATTCCTGGTGCGCAATACTCCGCTCATCCACGTCCACGTCGCGGTCTATAAGAATCTCACATTTATCGGGCTCACGTCTACGCACCTCACGTTCGATATACTCGGGGTGCGGACGCTGCTACACGCCTGGACACGGGTATTAAATGGCGACGATATGAGTACCATCCGGGGAATGGCATGGGATGCCGCGCCATTCGCGAGTTTCACCGCAAATACGGAGGGACTCGTGCTAGGGGAAGTCCACGGCTGGTTCGATTTGGGTTTTCTCAGTCGCCTTCGGTTTGCTGTCCCCCTCTTGTTACACTCGTTGTGGGATCCAGCAGAGGCGCGCCTAGTGCATGTGCCAAACTTCTTTCTGGAGGCGCACAAACAAGAAATCATGCAAAAACTGAAGCGGCAGGGCTCCAACCAGTGGGTGGGAAGCTCCGACGTGTTAATGGCTTGGTGGCTAAAGGTTGGTCTCAACGATATCAGTTGGTTTCAGCTCCGTTGAAGGATCTTTCTAGACGGAATATAGCATTTGCCGCTCCACGGACAACACGCCAATTCACATTCACATTACTGTGGATCTCCGTGACAAATCCTTGTTTCCTGGCGCGTCCAACATCTCCGACATACCATACTTGCACAACGCCTTCCTCACGATCCCCCTCCCACCCATCACCACGAACGCCTTCCGTGCAGAATCCTTGGCGGACCTCGCGCTGCGCATCCGGCGCGCCATCCTCGCCTTCGACGCTGACACTGACGCCGTCATCGCCGAGTTGAAACGGCGTTGCACGAAACCCCATAAGATGCTCTTTCCTTGCCCGCCAGGCGCTGAGTATTTAATCCAAACGAATTGGCGCAAAGCACGCCTTGAGGAGCTCGATTTATCCGGAGCATCGGTTGGGCAGACGTCCCAGAACAAGCTCCGGCCGCGGGTGATGTCGTTTTGGCGGCTGGAGTCGAAGCTTCCTACACGCGGGGCGGGTGGGATAACTGCAGAGGACGAAGACGCCGTGTGGATGACGCAAATTAGAGGGAAAGGGGAGTGGGAGCGGCTCCGTCGTAGCGGTAGTGTTGCCTTCATTTGACCACGGACGCTAGCTACGCATGTCGACCGAGACGGAATAGCGTTTATTTCTTACCTTTCTTCCTCATTCAATCCTACCCTTACAGGTTCCAACTCGTTGTACCGTGGATCCGACATTGTGGGATACTTGTTCAAACTCAACATCCAAATCTGATATTCTTTTCGTAAGAGCAACCACGGAAGCATTTCTTTTGCCCTGTTTCGAAAGGTACTTATACCTAGAGTACAGTATCCGCTTTTCTTTTTGCGGGTTTCAGGTTCGCACTGGTCTGCACCAGTGTAGGGTGAGCCCCTGGACTGTTTTTGTGGCGCTCGCCGATTTTTACCCTCCTAGAATCCTGACAAATTTGAAAGCCATTGACATCCAGGTTACAATTCGAAATATAACGCTCGGAAGCGCATGGGGCGCGTCCGCTCTGTCTAGTATCAAATTCTGTCCCTGTGGATATTTCCTGCCCGTTCGACTCGGGGACGGACCCTACGATCTTCGTTTCGGTTTCCTTTTTTACCTCTGAAAAGACAGGCCTTCACCCAGATCCAGTACCCGCCAAACGACCAGCTGCCGTCGCGTTCATCCATCGAAATTCAACGGAGACGAATCCTCCCTGTTGGTGCTATAACTCAGATGTTTGCTGCCTCAAGAAGAAGGACATCACCGTTCTGCTACGGAAGAAACCTGAACACCAGGAAAGATCAACAGCAGACCGCAAGGCTCGGTTGCGCATGGTGCGCGTCCGCGATGTGTGGATGCATTTACCAGACCTTTCCACGCGGATTCTTCCCGCCCGTTCGACTCGGACCCGGGCCTTGCATCGGTTGATGTCGGCTTTTTTTGTTCATAACAAGTCGGGAACTCGTCAAGCTGGTGTTAAGTCGATCCGGCGAGAAGAAATGCTCAGAGGGCCTAGCACCAACCCCGTAAGTAAGCACGCCTCGGTCAGCTGGATAAGGCGGGGATGAAGGTGAGGGTCAAATACTTCTGGATATGTACCACGAAGCACAAATTTTATTTTCTGGGGTTCAAAGCAACAGAACAGTACGAGCGGAGTCCGGGGAAAATACACGAAGCTTGGATCTGCATTTCTGTGGATTATATATATTCCATGGGGTGGATACTTGCCGGAGTTCAACATCTTGAATGCTAATATTGATGCGCGACACAGTTTCGCAGAAATAGTAGGCACAAGCAGTGCCTCAAGGACCCGGCGGCGCATGGTGCGTGGCCACACTGACGGAAATTCTCGAGAAAGATTTCCACGTGCATTCTCAACGCCCCTTCGACTGGGGTACGGGCTCTATCCATGTTCAGTATCCGTTCTTAAAAATTCTGAACAGCGGATATGTCCTCGGGAAACACTCAGATACACGCATCTGAGCATTCTAGGACTCGAGCAACGCAAAGAATTGTCTCAACGTACGAGGAGAGCTACGTTCGTGAGTTTGAACTTGACATACTTTGTTACGCGAGATAGTCAGGGCAACTGCGGGCAGAAGCGACATCCCAAGCCAAGGAAGGTGGTCCGCAGAGCATGGCCAAAGTACTTAGACTTCTACGTGGAGTCTTGTAACCAGCTCGCCTCCTTTGTTCTGTTTTCTTTGGGCTGCTGGAGAATTAGATGTGGCATAAGTTCGGACCACCTGAAACTGAGTTTCAAATCTGGAAGGAGAGCCGCCGAAAATCTCGGAACAAACCAAGTCGTGAGTTATTCAGCAAGACATGTTCAAATGATAGCAAATTTTCCGCGGACACATACCCAATTTGAGCGAAAATTTCGGCAGTATGTCGATATAGATGCAGTTCTGCGGCGAGAGACATGGGGAGTGAGGGAGAAGGTGAAAAAAAGGGAGTGTGCGTTCAACAGAGGAACAGAAACATGAAAAAAACTCTCGACCTGGGAGTCGAACCCAGCTTTCGCGCGGTACAGCATTAAAATGACAAGCGCGTGTACTAACCGATATACTAGTCAAGAATGGAAAGGCGGCGATTTTGAGTGGCCATCAGGCAAGGAAATACCGTGGGGAAGTCGCACTCCAAACAAAATCGAACCGTTCGCATTAGCACTAATCTTAGAGCCCAAGCTCAACAGTATCCAACCATGAGTCATTCGGGAGTTGGCATTGTGTCGGATTGGTTTGTTCGGTGTCTGACTGCCGTCAACCTTGTTTGCGGAGGACTCGGAAAATCACAACAAAAATCGCAACTGGAACTCGATGGTAAGTATTTGTTACAATGCGGTTGATGTTGGGGTCAGGTCAGAGGCTTGAGGTTGCGGCTGAGTGGTTCCAATGGGGGGCCGCTATGTTTCTAAGCTTCAACCTGCATGTGCCTGTGTATTTTGATGGCATCACGTTGTCAATATCAGCTCTTGCTCCTGACGCCCATGTTCTCCAGCCGGAATCCTCGTTTTACCTCCATCCTCGGGGTTCCTCCGGCTGCGAGTCCATGGGCGGCCATGCACTGACTATATCCTAACCTGTAACAAGGCTATCCACTGGTGAATGTGAAGCTCTAGTCTTGGAGGCTGCCTGCTGCGTCTTGTCTCGTCGCTATCTCTACACTCCAGACTTGATGTGGGTGTGGCGACTCCGCGCCTACTACTGCTGCTTCAGCTCAGCGCTCTTGCGCATTACTGTTTGACATGTTGCTCTTACATCTACAGGCTTTAGCTATAAGGAAGGTGTCTCTAGTTGCGCAGGAATCGATTATTTATCGATATACAGTACGTATGTTCTCAGCCAAGTCTATCTATGTTCTGGAATCGTTGCGCACCTGGAATACTGACGCTGGTCTCCATGCTAGTTTTACGCCGCGTTGTCGCGCGCGGTCACTCGGCGCTTTGTCCTGTGGGGGCCACTCCGCTGCCGATCCGTCGGTACTGGACTCTTGTTACCTCCGCACGCATCAGGCAGTCTACTCGGTCTGCATGCGGCTCTACGGGACTCCCTTCCGCCTCAATATAGGCCGCCCCACAAGTATCCCAATGAAAACAGCAGTCTCCCTAGTTCGAGAAGAGAGTCGCGCCACGGCCCTATGGATGCAAACAACACACCGTCCAGCTTCCGGGATCTCTGGATGATACTGCAAGAACTCAACGCACCCGCAAGCACATTACCACGATGTCCTGCTGCAACATCACCTTCGGAGCCAATTCCAGTTATCCCTGGTAGGCAGGGTTGAGTCCCTCCTGTCAAAATTTCCTGCATCTCTCCGCAGAATCTCTTCCTTCCTGCTCGAGGCCATACAAAACACTCATCAATCCGAGTCGCTCTCATCCGAATACTCGTCGACGGCCTACATCATTCCTGTGACGCGACTTGCTCCATCCAACTGCTACAGCCAGATGTCTACCGTGCTGAATCTGACTTAGCCTTTGCAAGGACATGGCGTATAGTTACAAGCGGACGTGGTGCGCGGCGCACCGTTGCGGTTGATGAGAATATCAGCAGCTACACCAGCAACTGGTAGGGTTCGACTCCCTGCGTCCGCCTGGGGCGAATTCCAACCATTTTTTTAGAGTAATTGTTTCTCTACAGTAAGCGTTCTAATCAGTTTCAGCGTCCGGGTTTATCGCAGATTCTCTAGATTCAGTTTTTTATTGGCTACGGAAAGGGCCAGGCGAAATTTCAAACTCTTTCAAACGCGCCACCTTCTGAATCTTTCTTTTCAAGCTGTGCGTGGTTCCGAGGTTCCGTTGTGTCTGTCTGTCTCCAGTAGGTATGTATCACACTTTGAGATTTCCCGGATCCCCAGTTTCTAATTTCCTCTATCCTTCGACCGGGTGGCCGTTCGATGACTTTCTGCATCCAACTGCTAGGATCAAACTCTCCCGTTCCCCCCTTCGAGGCTGCATCTCTTCTCAGTTCTTTGCCTCGCCTCAGCCGAAGGTGTAGTTTCAAGCGGACGTGGTACAAGCGGACGTGGTGCGCGGTGCACCGCTGCGGTTAAGGAGAATCAGGACCTCTGATAACGGTCGGGTAGGTTAGGTTACAAAATCTCCGGAAATGCCCTTTCTTTGTCCGACACTTTTCACCACTTCCGTCATTTCATTTACTGTATTAGGTGTCGAGTATTCGCTGGTTTGGCACTCACCGGATGTGTACTTTGAAGCGGGCGTGGTACATGGTTCAGCTTCGATATGTCCGAATTTAGGAGCCAGTGGGGTTCGACTCCCCACGTCCGCCTGGTCGTCATTGTGACCTGTTTTGTTATTTTCTGGGCTGCGTTGTTTACTTATTGACTGGGTTCGCAGCAAGGATTTCTGAATATCCATGCGATGCGACACAGAACCTTTAACTATCATACAGGCGACAGGACAGACTTCAAATCAATCCTTCTGCCGCGGCAATTCCGTAGAGTCGAATATTCCTTGATTGGGCTGAGACCAAATGTTAATCTCAAGCGGACATCGTTCACGGTGCACTGCTGGGGATAGTCTTGCCAGTCGAGCGTACTACAGCAGCTGGTTGGGGTTCGACTCCCCACGTCCGCCTGAGGGGAATGGTCAACATCTTTTTTTTTCCGTGTCAGTCTGAATGGTCCATTCAAGGGGGTTCAACTTTGTCAAAAAATCCACCTGGGCCGTTATTTTTCAAAACAACCTTTTCATTGACCCTACCTACCACGTGATGTGAATCTCGGCTGTTTCCGGGAGCGCCGAGCGATGCCGAACACCCGGAACTCATCGGCACAATAAGCGGAGGTTCAACCTCGGTTGTACGGGTCTTGTTTCACCTGTTTTCAATGGGAAATGCCCTGTATAATCCACTCATATTCAAAACAGGGTTTCACTGAATGCACCAGTGACCAGAAGCCTAAACACAACTTGCATCTTTTTTTTTCAAAGTATTGTATAGACTTCGTAGCAAGAGGAAAACCTGCAGGCATTCTCCTCATGGGTATGTCTTCTTGAAAGCTTTCCCGAAGCCTTCAACATCCTCCCAAAAATTGTAATCCAATCCTTCTTCCAACTCACTGAGTGTTGGCACCTCTCCAGATACATCGTTCCCTTTAGAAATAAGTTACATAGACACTTTCGAGGTCGAGGCAGAGCAGGTGATACCATAAAAATGTGTTAGATCGAAATATCAGCAAGGACTGTCGTAGCATTGAAAGAATGAATAGTAGATTTTGCAGCGTGGGAATCATAGTACTTCACAATGGGCGGCAACCACGGGATTCACTTGCACTTCGATGTGGGTGAAAATTTGCCTTAGGGCAGTCCTAATTATTGTGGTGTGCTTGAAATCAAGTTCGGAGGGCTGCCAAATAATTTGTGAAACATTCGGCAATATTTTAGGGACAGTTTGGGAAGATACCCATTTTTTTTTTTCCGGCCTGACGGCCGACCCTACCTACCTGCCCTAGGTCCCGGCTTGACCGGCCCGAACCCCCTTGGGTCCATTAGGTTCGGAGATATTGGGAGGGCAATATGTGTGGTGTTGTGATTGCCCGTCGTTAGCAAACAAGCCAAGCCTGTCTCGGCGCCTCGTTCCGACCACGACTTCTTTCATCCCGTCACTTACCTCTCGCTTACTTTCATCCCTCCGACGTCGCTTACTTGCTTTGTCCCCAGTTTCGCAGTATATAGAGCCTGCGAGCGCACTGTAGAAGCATCCGCCTCTCACACTGCGCTCGCAGGTAAGTCTCCTTGTATTCCTTTCCGCTCCGCCTCTCACACTGCGCTCGCAGTACTGTAGATCACTTGTCGTCGCGCGATAATTTGACTCTTTTACAAAGCTCGCAGTCATCGGACTCGAGCTCATCTTCCACCACGTCTGAACCGTTTCGCATCAACGGGCGCTACGCTAAGAAGCCGACAACCCCAGCTCAGTCTCCTCCCACCAACACCGCTCAACGCGCCGCTGACCGCGCCGCACCGCGTCCTTCTTCCACTCCATCTCCCATCGTTACAGAACCCGTCGATATGGCTGATACCGCTCAATCCACTCCATCGCCCACGGACTCACAGCGCATTGATGAGATCATGGAGAAGCTCACACAACTGACGGCTGCAATGAGCGCCGCTGGCGCACTGCCTGTCCAGTCCCCACCTGCACAGCAGGGCAACTCGGCGGCGGCCCCGCCGGCGCTCGAGATGCCCCCGCAATTCACGCCGCCTCTTCCGCCGCGCGACTCTCCCGCCGGTGCGTCGCCTTCACTCCGAACCCTCTTTCCCGATATCGAGCCGGCATGCATCACATCGGTTATCACGCATGACCTCAAGGCCTCGGACCTCTACAAGCTGGACACGCGCGTCAAGGACGCAGAACCTTCGTACACGCTCAGCGCCGCGGGGACCTTCGAGATGAACGTCTCGAAGCACAAGTTGTACAAAAGCCTCAACTCTGTCCTCTTCCCCCTCCACAACTACTTCGCCATCCTCACTGCCCACCTCCCCCGCCAATGCGCGGCCCCGGTCTACTTCTATCGGTACCTCACATACATCACCACTCTTGCGACGGAGTATGAGTGGGCGGCAGTACTTGAATACCACACATTGTTTTTCAATCGGCGCCGCGGCGACATGCAAGCGGGTTCTTACGATGGCTGGGCCGTGTCAGACATCGGGCTTCTCAGCTCGTACGTTTACCCCCATCGCAAGGCCCTCAACGTCGTCTCCAAACCAACCGGCAAGCGGCGAGCTTCATCCACGGGCACTGACCCTTGCCGCAACTTCAATCTTGGCAAATGTGAGAGCCCGTGCGCTTGGAAGCGGCCGCACACCTGTTCCTCGCCGGGCTGTGGGAAGGATCACCCGCTCACGCAGCACCCCAAGTAGGGGCCCGGCCGGACGAGTAGCTCGTCTCCGTCACCATCGCTATCTCGTCACGGCCCGCCCGTAGACGAATCCGTCCTACTTGGCTTCCTCGCACCGGCTCGTCCTCCCCCACTACCTTATGCCGACTCATTTCCTGAGCTCGCGCTCCCGCCCATCCGCCCTAATACAGACACACGGATCAACACCGTCCC